GCCCCAGAAACCCTTGAATCCAGATCTTGAGCAGAAGACCATAATTCATCAAGATTCGTAACACACCGCACCCCAGGGGGTCTGTCCGAGCAGCCGAGCGAAGATCCAGAAAGAAAGCTCTAGGGGTTGGCAAGCGGCGCTCTACTTGAGACAGATGGCGACAACGATGCTGGTTTTCTGGTGTTGTCTGTTCCTGTCTTGTTTGTAGTCCTTCTGTAGCAGTCAGTGGTCTGTGGCCCGAGTCTATGGCGTCTGTGGTTTCAGGGTCCAGGTGTTCAGTGTTGGCTTGGCTCAGGGCTCGACATTCTTTATGTGCTTGGAATCCAGCACCACACAGAACTATCGCCACAACCTGCACAGAAGTGTAGGCATGCAGTGTGCCCACAAGCCGCTCGCTGAAGGAGTACGAGGGACCCTAATCTAGAACCAAGCGAGTATCATTCTTATTACGAGGATGCCGACAAACGTATCCCTAATTTTCTGAGAGCTCAGTATGATGTCGCCCTTAGACTCTTAGACATTCGGGCGTCTCTGTAGCGAAGTGGAGTGTAGCATTGAGGATGCCTCACAACAGAGTGCACAGAATCCGAAACCTTGAGACTTTCAAAGCCCCTGAGCCCTGAACTCTGAACCCTCTACAGTAACCCAGATCGCTTCAAGCCTAAATCCCAAAGCCCGGAAGCTTCTTAAGCAAGAGCACCGGAGCCAGGTGCCGTTCGCCAGAGCCCGGGTTCACAGGCAGACTGTTGTAGGGGGATTTTGCTCTCATGTGGTGCTGTGGCTTTAGGGTTTGGGGTGGGGCTTGCAAGGTGCAGTTGAGGGTGTTGAGGGTCTTGAGGGTCTGCAGTTGCAACAAATCAGCGGGTCAGGGAATGCTTGTGGCCAGTTCCGAAGCGCCAGATGGAAAGACCTGAAACCTGAAGTCCTTCAGTCCCAGAACGGGCCTGCAAGACAAACCAAAGAGTCGAGTTCAGGACTCTACTCCGAAGCAAGCGGAAAGCCATGCAACCGGGTTGTTCGACGTTTGGGCTGCAGGCCCTGTTCACGGACGAGGAGTTGGCACGGATCCTGCGCGCTGCCCCAGTCGTTTCTGGAATTCCCGGAAGTTGCATGAAATCCATGCGTGCCATTGTTGGTGGTATGGGGGAAGCTTTAAACATCGAGGGTCTCAACGGCTGCGAGTCTTTCCCTGAGCCATGGGTTCGGGTTCAGGACATCAAACAACCCTGACTCTGTGCGAGCCGGAGAAGAGCCGTAAAGCCTTCTTCCAACAGCCTGTGCGATGCTGCATCATTACATACGTTTCGAACGCTTTCGTCTTTGCTGAGGCCTGAAGATGAAGACGAAGAAGGTGAAAGTGACGATGACTAAACTGCATGACGATGCAGATGCTGTGGTTGTGGGTCGGGTTTTGTGACGATGAAGACTTTGTGGTGTTTTTGTTTCGATGTTGCTGTTTTTATGATGTCGTTTCGATGGTCATGGTGATGATGATGATGATGACGATGATGATCAGGAGAATCATGCCGATGCATGCTGCTGTCGAGCCTCTCAGGCTTGCCGAATCAAGACCTTTTGATAACGGCCCAGTTGGGCCTTTCCAAGCTCTTGGGCCTTTGGTTTAGGTGTACTTAAAGTTAGTACGGTTTGGCAAAAGGTCCCTATACAGCGAAGGCTCAGGTAATGTTTTGTAAAACCCACAGAAGAACCACGAGGGGTCTGGCGACACGTGGTATTGGCGCCGTAGTTGCACATGGCACCTGAGGCCAGGCAAAACCTCACCAAAGCAGTTGGAAAGAGCCCGCAAAAGGAAGCCAACATAAGCATCATAAAACCCTAATACCCCAAGTCCTAAAGTGCTGTAAAACTCCCAAGCCCCAAAACTGCCAACCTTGAGACCCTGCGAAGTAAGCCCGATGCCGAACTGTTCGGCCGCAGTCTGCTTTCTTCATCCGACCGAGGCAGGATTCCAGCCCGACTTACACTGAAGCAGAGAGTCCGAGGCCAAATTTCTGGAAATCCAGGTGGGGACCCTTAAGCAAGTAAACCCTAAACCACCTTAAACCCTCACGCCCTGGAGCCCTTAAGGCCTTAAACTCTGAACCCGAAACATGAAATCCTGAAGCCCGGAGCCCATAGCCATTAAACGTTTAAACCTCTTAGCTTTTAAACCTTTATTACACTTTAAGCCTTAAACCCTGAACCTCAACGCTCCAGATCCTCAAACCCTGACGTCTTAACCCTGAAACCCTTAACCCTTAGATGTTCAACACCTAGAGACCTGGCCGGGATCGGTTTTGCAGCTTTCAGCATGGGACTATATGCACTGCGTGCTTGTCGGGTCCTGTTGTGGTCCCGTGCAGGACATTTATCAAAGGGCTTCGTACCAATCAAGCCTCCGCCTATCATCACATTGAGGGTCATTGCAATAGGTTTTACATAGCATTTGCCTGACAATTCATGGTTTCGCATGCGACTTTGTTCTTAGAGAGCACATCAT